AAATACTTTATACTTTTATTAAACACATAAAATTCCCCAGGGGGAATTAAAATGGATTACATTTACACTAAACAAAACTAGACTAATAATACAAAACATTAAGACTAAAGTAGTGATTAAAAAAATAATAATAATCGAAATAAAAGAAATAAAAAAAAGACATGAATAGTTGTATATCCCATCAATAGCAATAATAAAGGTAGAAGAAACCATTGTTAAAAAGTAATAACAATAATAATGCGTTAATACATTAAGGTTTAAAAATCTTGGAGGTGTTTCTGTCTCAAGTCGAAGGCAGTTTTAATGAATTGTCCAAGTGTGATATGTAATGAGGTTAAATTATAACTCATTGTCAGTGCAAATTTTCATCAATTGTAAAATTATCAAAGTTAATAATTTGTTTCTTATATTTCTAAAATATTAATTTTCTTTGGTCATTGTAAAATGGACAAGTCATGATGAAATGTTGTTCGTCTTCTATTTGGTTTTTTGTGCAAAGTTCACATATTCTTTCTTTTTACTGTTGCCTTCAGTAGGTGATGTATCAACAATGGTCTTTTCAATTTCAGGTGAAATTCAACGTGTTTTGGGCATACATAAAATCCATGGGAATTTTACTCACAATACTTGTATGTTTCCTGTACAGCGGTAACACTGCGTTTGCTATCAGGACAAATTTTTGGCTGGCAAGATGGAGTCAGGAGCCCACAATAAATGGAACTCAAGATCCCAGTAAACGTGATCTTTATCTTGGTGTTTATGGTGCTCTTGGAATTTGTCAAGGTATGTCTTTCATTAGGTACTATACCTACCCCCTTTACTAAACCTAAGCTTTGCAAACATTTCTATGTTAAGTCACGGGATATTTAACCTCTATTTAATTAAAACTTGAATTAAAACGGCAGGCAGTTTTCCGGTGTCCTAAATTAGGACCCTGTGTTGTTTAAAGTGTCCTAGGGCCACTTAAAACAAAGCCAAGGATATTTGTTTCCCCACTATGGTGTTTATGTAACCACACATGCCGTTATTCTCAGAGTAGTCTGAGCCTTGTTCTTGCAAAACTCTTATCTGTTGAAACAGCTGAGCTATTTTGACTAGTAGGTTGCTTGTTATTTGTTTTTAATAATTCATTTATACTTTGTTTTTGTTCCTGTAGCAATCTTAGCGTACAGCCACCTTGTGCTTTTTTACTACTCAGTGACCCAAGCAGGGAAACATCTCCACTCTGGATTGCTTCAGAATATTCTTCACTGTCCTATGCAGTTTTTTGAATCGGTGCCGCTTGGAAGAGTTCTCAATCGTTTCTCCAGTGACATTGATACATTAGATGTACGTCTACCAATGACATTGCTGTACCTGATAATGAACATTGCTGAAGTTTTGTCTGTTCTATTGGTTATCTGCATCTCAACGGTGATATTCTTAGTTATTGTACCACCACTTCTCATTCTCTACTTCCTGGTTCAGGTATTACAATAATTTCTTCTCTCTACTTGTTGTGTATGTGTTGGTGATGCTGTGCCCTCTAGTGGTAGTAAACAGTGCCCTCTAGTGGTAGTTACTAGCTATTTGGAGCTATCCTCGGGGGCGGACATCCGGGCATTTTCACCGCCTGGTAACCATCACCGTGAAAACAAAAGCCAAAAACTCGCAGAAAACAAAACTTCGGGATGATTATTGAGACTCCCCTGAACAGTGTAACAAGATTAGCCCTACGTGTGTAACATATATAAATTTGGTCGTTCAGGATTACTTCAAAGATGAGTTTGTATTGTTTTCTTGAATTTTCACCAGGCTCAACCGGCTTTCCACAGCAGCGCGCACAGAGCCCATAGAAATGCATGTATAGTGGTGCGCGTCTTAGCAGTGTGGAACGTCTTGTGACATAGCTCCGCCCTGAGGATAGTGTTTGTTTCTACTTGTATGAGTGTGC